CCCCAAAACCCCAAAACCCCAAAACCCCAATACAGGAAATTTCAGTAGAATTTAATTAGATTAATGAAGAGAAGCAAAGATTACGCCAGACAGAAAACTAGCAAAGGGTAAGTTTGAGATAGACGCTTATGAAATCATCTGGGCTCTAGACAAATTAGCAAGAAGAATCCAAACTCTAAATTTAGAGGAATGGGAAGATCAGAGATAGGCAAAAAGAAGCAAGGTAATCTTTGTTGATTCTGAATTATGAGATCTTAAGTTTTAGTAGGAATTTCAAAGAAGATATCAAAGTTTGAGATTGAGCTGGAAAATCACCTTGACTCTCCTCAATCTGAAAAGAGTCTTAATACAGATAATACGGTTGTCAAACTCCTTGGATACCCAACTGTTGGATGAAACATTGATTCAAATTTTCCTGCAGGCCCAACATCTGGAAATAGAGGAGCTGAGATTTCTGACACTTCTTCTGCCAGCTGGCAGCAAACAGAATCAAGAAACTCAGAAATAAGTAAAGCAGAAGATCTAAAATCGGCAGAGAAAATTAGTGAAAAAAGCCAGGAAGAAAGTGATTGTAATCCCATTAATCATCAAGAGACTCAATTTTCACTTGAAAGAGGACTTACCTCTATAAATGACCAGAGTAAAACTCCTCTTTAACCTATAGAGAAGGATAACATCAGAGATGTCTACAACAAAGCTCGTATGACTAAAAAGGAACAAATCATGAGAAGAGAGAATGGAGCTCCAGTTCTAAGGCCTCATTCATTAGATATCGAGAAGTACTACAAATATAAGCTGGATAACTACCCAGATTTGTTCAGGAACAGGCATAATCCTCAAGAGCTCAGTAAGAAAGTAAAGCCCGAGGTTGTGCCCTTTGAAGACTGTAAAGCCTACAGCAGCCTGCTTGAGAGACTTAAGGCCCCTTCTGCTTTTATACCTGTAAGTCCCAGCTTTGTTACTGAAGTCTGTGTCTATAGCTCTAACTCTTAAATAGACCAAGAAAGTGCCTAAGATCAAGTACTACAGAGGAAAAGGTAACTTTCTACATGCATGATTTATGTTTCTTTAGAGAAGATTGAGAGACTAAGGAAAGGACTTCCAGTGATTGAGAGGGTCCACCCAAGCTCAACCCTGCTCATGCCAAATCTTCATGAGAAAGAAGTCTTAAGCCAAAGAGAAAGGTATGCTGAACATAGTGAATTTTAGACTGATATTAGGAGCGATCAACGATGCTTCAAAAGTTCAGTGTGATACTCTTGGTAAGAATTACCATTGTTTGGGGTTTCAGGTTCATACTTTGTAGATGAATTCCAAGCAATGGCAGATAAATTGAAGGGCCTCTTCGAGCATGAAGTATAGATTTAGTATAACATTATTTAGTCTAAAGAGAGAACCCAATCTTCAGCACAGATCATGCAAGAGTTAAAGAAAGATATTAAAGAATTAAGACAAGATATCAGTAAATTAAAAGTTCAAAAAGAGCAGCAAAGAGTATCTACAGCTGCATTAAATGAAGCTCCTTCTCTTCAAACTCAATCAAATACCGAGGCCCAAGTTACTCAACCAGAAGAGAAAGATAACAAAGCTCAGAAGAAAGAGCCCTCACAAAAGGCGATTCCTAAAGTGACGGATCCTTTCTCTCAAAATTTACCAAAAGAAGAAAGTAAGAATCCAAAAGAGGAGTCCAAAGAGGATCCTCCTGAGCAAGAAGAAGTGAAAAAGGAAATCAAAGAGGATCCTCTATCAAGTAAGAATGAGTTGTGATCACCTATAGAAAGTAAAATAGCTGAAGAGACTCCTTCAGTCAGCAAATTGGATAATAATGAAAAGATGATATTTCAGTCTATGAACAACAAGCCTGAAATAGAGAACTCTAAAGTAAAGCCTTCAAGTAAATCATTAATATTATCTTTAGAAGAAATTGCAGACCAACAAGTTGTAGAAGAGGAAAAGAAGAATGAAGCTCAGAACCTTTTTAGTCAGTCAAGGCAAAATAGTCAGACATCTCCTAGTTTTGTCGCTAGAGAAGAGTCAAAATTCACTTCTGAAGCAAAGGAGAACCCATTTCTAATGAACTTAAAAGCTGATCCTATCAATAAATTCGCTTCTTCTACTCAGGATCAGTCAAAACCCTTCTCAAGGTCAAATACGGATGGGAGTTCACATCCTTTTACTCAGAAAAGCGGTGCGAGTCCTTTTGCTCAGAGTCAAAATGCAGGAAATACTCAAATATTCAGAGCTAAGACCGCTCAGAGTTTAGTACAGCCTCATGAAAGTTTTGCTCCTTTTGCCAGGAACAATGGAAATGGAGATATGCAAGTTGACTCAGGTTTAAGAAGTAATAGAGATTTAGGAAGTATTAATAACAGATCAACAGGAAATTTTGTGAGACCACCTGACAGCTCAAACCCATTTTGAGTACAAAATGTACCGAGAGATTCACAGAGAAGGAACAGAGGGGCCTCAGCAAGGTTTGGTAACCAAAGTCAAATGGGAAACAGAGGTTCAGATAATAGAGAGAGCGATTGGAACAAAAGTCCTTTCCAAAGAGAGCCAAGTGGTGATAATTCGTCTAGCTTTAGAATGGGAAAATTTGACAACGGCGGAAGGACCTATAACTCATACCCTACTGATAATGGAGGTCTCTTTGGTGAGCATAAAAGGAATAACAAGTAATATTGCTACCTAATGATTCATAATATTCTTCTTTCAAGTCAGGAATATTCTGCAGGGGTTTTGGGGTTTTGGGGTTTTGGGGTTTTGGGG